TTGCTATTCTTGTTTCTGTTTCCTTATTTAGTTGCCATGTACTCGTTTCTTTATCCACGGGATGGGGTATCTACAGCATATCTTCATAGGATTACGGCCCAGTCAGGTCTTCTTACTTTCCTAGCAGTTAGCTTCCTACCCTCCCAAGCTCTGGTATATCCCTACAGTGAAGTCCGAGAATTGAAAAGAACGTTCTTTAAAGTCAGAAAATGAAGATTTCGGCGCTGTTCGATATCCTTTCAGAGAGCGGCATGCTCTCCTCTCCCATTCAGGATCGCAATGGCATTTCGAATGCGACAATGCCAATATAATAGCCTGCGGGAGCCAGCCGATGTGCGAGTCTCCGTCCTCCCTGACTAATCTGGTGCTAATGTCCCGTTGCTGGAGGGTGGGAGGCTCTGTTGGCAGGGGGAGGGGATTTAACCTGGGACATCGTGCGTGGTGAGTGAGCTACGTACCACTGCAGAACCTTCACCGAAAAATCAAGAATCAGATGGGGAGAATAGATCTGTGGTCTGCTTCTTCTTCAGCTTGGACTGTTCAGTTATCGTCAATCCCAGAGGTGAAGTTTGTATTCGCTTGGAACCCTTGAAAAGCGAGCGCGTCCTTTTTCAACAAAGGCGGTGCACTTTCCGGACTATTGAGCATGACCTTCAGGCAGCTCTCTTTCACGCTCTTTCCTTTTCTATACAGTTCAGGCGAAACTCATTTCGTGGAAACGCTCAGAAGATAGGATATTGCTGGAGTTGCCAACTGTGAAAACGTCGCTTCGCGCCGTGGACTTCTCCTAAAATTTTAACGATTTTTGATCATCATGGCAGGTCGTACTTTCGTGATGTCCAGGCGAGGGATCGTCTCCGGTGCTAGAGAGGGTCAAATTCTGCAAAAATTTCCGCCAACGGCACATGCACCGTCGTTTGTAAGGAATGTGTGAGGAATCATGTGAGACAGCCACTCCCTAATGGGTCATTCTGAAGCTCTAAGTTCCATAGTTTCTGCTTCAAACAAGACCTGGCTGTTTTGCCAACACACGACGGGTTCACAGATAGAATAAAAAAGAAAAATAAAAAGCTCTGCATAGATGGAACCTCGTTTTGTACTATAGGCTACTGGCCCCGAAGTTTATCCCTGGGGCTCATACAATTCATCTGCCTTTGGGACCCGTCGTATGCTGAGGACTCCCCAACGCGAGGATGGGAGGGGTCCCTACCAGCAATCGGGAGGGGAGACTTGAATATGAGTTTGAGAGAGGGCATTCCCTAGTAAGAATGGAGTGTGGGAGTTTCAGGCGGAAACTTTTTCCTTTCGATCTTTTCGATGCATTTGGTCCCCAAGGAGAACCTCCATGTACATACCTTGGGTACTGCCAGAATAACTCTACGAAATCTTTCACGCTGCTGAAATTATAGATCACTCTATGGGTGGCACTTCTAGGTACTAACCAAAACTTGACGCAAATCGGCTTGGTGGGGGCATTTCGGTGGTTCGCATTGTCACTGCTGATGCTTCCTGGAGAGACCTGTATATTCCTGTCAAGCTATGCAATAGAGGCTGGAGCTTCTTTTACACTTGACAAGTATTACCAGGTCTGACCAGGGTGAGACGCGTAACTTAGCAGAAGTTACCGAAAGAAAGCAGAGAAAGTGTGAAATGCCCCTCCCAAGCATTTGAAATTGACTTGTCGAAATGAGGCCATTCTACTAGCGCGGATTCTGACACAGAACTAAACCAATAAACGAATAAACCCGAATGGAACTGGAAATTCAGAACCACAGCTAAGGAATGAGTTGGCTTTCAGCCAGTTGCCCTCAACATGCTATCAGGCTTACGAGCTCTGCACTTCTCAACTATTCAAATCCTACCCAGTTTTGCGTTGGTGCGTGCCTCTGAATTCAAGCCAACTTGAGCTCCAAAGCCATAAAATTTCACATTTACCAGGGCATATTTGAAAAACCAGTTTTTCGTCAGGCCATCTTTAAGAGCTTATTTCGGTCACATGAGTGCAACACAACGACGAAACTTGTTCAACAATGTCCGTGGTGGGATTAGGCGGCGGGCGACGACGTTGTCCTTGGTGGGACCACTAAGACTACCATCCGGATACGGCGCAATGAGCCGTATCCATCACTATTTGTATAGGGAGGGTTTCGATTTCGCCTCGTCGCTATCGTAGCCGATATGACCACACATGACCAATGTGGGGGAAAGCGATGACGGGACAACCAACTACGTACGAGAGCCGGTTCGGCATGTCCGTTGGCATGAGCCGGCCAGATTATGATGAGCTTTATCTCGTCGCCCAGTCCAGTATAGCGGATCAACTATTCATACATACACATAGCAGGACAATCCGGAGGACGATAGGATTATGAATGAATGGTGAAGTTATGAGGGGGAACAAGACTTAGATGACATAGCTCAAGGTAAACGACATAAGAGGGAAATCCTAATCAGATTAGGTTCAAAGTTATTGCGAGTTTTATGGCCGGCGGCCGACTGCCTCTGTAACTGGACGGTCATTCAGTTATAGCCACTAATCCTAGAAAGATAGGTTGAATACGTAAAACTGAAGGAAATGGCTATAACCCCGGATTACGAGGGAATGGTGAAGTTATTGGTGAACCAGGTTCGGACTGCATAAGTGGAAAGCCAAATCAAGTCAGCGCCAAGGTAACTGCAACCTATAGGGGGTGGGTCGTATTTATTTTCATTTATTTTGGCAAGCTATAACAGTATATAGATATTTATAGAACCGATATATACAGAACCAATAATGTTCACTGAATGACAACAGAGGGGGACAAGCGAAAATAAAAGCGAAAAGAAAGGGGAAATAAAAAAATTTCGCAAGTTCATATGCACATGAAG